GAAACCCAAGGAGGGGTCGCTATGAGTCAGGTCCAACTTGACGGCACATAATAACAACAACAGAGCAAATTGGTTCAGGAGAGTTTGTGTGTGTGTGTGTGTGTGTGTGTAATTTGGGTGAAACTTTACAGAGAAAATTGGTTTTTCATTCAATAATTCATATACATTTTGTTTAGTGACATTCATTGCAATCACCACAATGTAACAGCACTCTTTCCACTTTCTCCCTGTGTTTACCATTTCCCTTTGTCCTTCTTTCCTATCCCTTCCTGCCTTCTGACCTTTATCCTTGGGAAGATACTGCCCTTTTGGCCTCGTATAGTTGACTGTTCAATGAGTGCATACCTTCCTGGTTCACCTGATAAGCCTGTGTATCATGTGGCTGAAAGCTGAGCTATGGGGGTTGAGTTCAGTTCCTGGCTTGAAGAGTGTTTAAGGGCCATAGTCTTGGAGGTTCCACCAGTCTCTATCAGAACAGTAAGCCTGGTCTTTTTTTATGATTTTGAGTTTTGTTCCACACTTTTCTCCCACTCTATCAAGGATCTCCTACTGTGATCCCTTTCAGAGCAGTCAGTAGTTGTAGGTGGGTACAATCTAGTTCTTCTGGTCTTAGGGTCATGGAGGCTGGAGATCACATGATCCTTTGACTAATTGTTTCCTTTTGTCTTTGATTTTCTTCACTCTTCTTTGCTCCAGACTGAGAGACCAATAGTTGCACCTTAGGTGGTCACTCACAAGCTTTTAAGACCCAAGTCACTACTCATCAAAGTACTATGTGTAGAGCATTGTCTTTGTGTACTGTTATGCTAATCAAACTTAGTGTCCCCTGAGGCTTTGGTTCTGAGCCCCCATGCCCAGCTACTCATTCCCTTAGGGTGCTTGGTTATGACTAAGAAGTTTTCACAATATTGCCCCCTGTATGCTCTACTATATTCATGGATCTATTTGCAGCACATATAAATACATATGTAGAGATATCCTGCCAAATCAATATATATACATGGGTGTAGTCTCATTTGCCTTCCCACCCCCGTTCAGCTGAGTGTCTATCTATGTATCCACTTGTACATTATTGTTATTACTGCTATTGCGGGATTGTGAACATAATAGTATTTACCTTTGTTGTCTTTAACTCTTGTGCTCTTCCCAGGGTCTTCCTTTGCCTTGATCATTTTGTGCTGACCTCCCTTTTATGTTTTACTGCCTCTCCCTTCACCCTAGTTAATATGTGTCTCCCTCTAGTAAATGATTTATTCTTCCTTCTCCTCCCCACCTTCAAAGAATGATTCTTTCTGTGTGAAAACCTTTTCTTGACTTTTCACATAGTGGTCTCATACAATATTTGTTCTTTTGTGATTGACTAATCTGTAGTCTATTATAACATCCTCTGGGTTCATTCATCCATGTTATGAGGTGTTTTGCAGATTCACTGTTTTTCTTTAATGCTGCATAGTATTCCATTGTGTGAATGTATCATAGTTTGCTTATCCTTTCATCTGTTGATGGGTTTTAACAAAAATTTTAATTGACTCTACAATTTCACTTCTGGGAATTCATTTTACAAATATACTCAATTCAGGTGAGCAAAAATAGATGCAAAAGGACATCTACTGTATCTTCACACAAACAACATGGCCTTCCACGTTTGTTTCCAACCGCTCCTCACCCTCCCCAAGTATTTTCATAAGTGCCATTATGCCAATTTTTTTTACATGTTGCTTGTAAAAATAAATAGCACAGCACATGTACAAAAATACCTCCAGAGGAGGTAGCAGTTGTCAAACAAACATAGAAGGTACATTTTATCTGAGTGAAAATATAGTACTTCGATAATGAATATTAACCTAAATATCTATCAACAAAACAATGGTTAAATATTTATTATCTAATCATATATGGGAATGTTATATAGTCATCAAAAAGAATGAAGCAGATCTTTACGCACTAATATGGAAAAATATCCAAAATATACTGTTAAATGGAAAATAATCAAGCTTCAAAACAACATAGCATGATTTAATTTGAGTTAAAATGTTTGTATTTTAATTGAAAATGTCTAGAAGCATTAATAATTAGTACTGAGGGGGTTGTTGTTGTTGTTGTTGTTATGTGCCCTCGAGTTGGACCCGACTCATAGCGACCCTTCCTTGGGTTTCCAAGGGAGTATCTCTATGGAAGAAGACTGCCTAACCTTCCTTCTGAGGAGTGGCTGGTGAGTTTGAACCTCCAACCTTCGATTAGCAGTCAAGTGCCTTAGGCACTATGCTACCAGAGCTCCTACTGAGGGGGTAGTGGGTGTTTTTTGTTTATTTACATACTTCTATTTGAAGTTTTTTTTTTCTTCCAACCAAATGATCCTATTTATATACAAAAGTAATTTAAAAATAGAAACCATAAATCAATGAGTATGACTGATGGTGATCATAAAGTGGGAGAAGGAATATAAATGTAACAAAGCCAATGACAATAGGGCCTTGGGTTGCCAAGTAGGAGCTCTCATTAATCATACCCAAGTCCCAAGTTAAGTTGTAGTTTGGGAGGGCAAACAAAAGGGAAAAGACTGACTACCAGCAAGAGCACAAAGTACAGCAGCAAGTGTGCTGGGAAGGACCACAGTTCCATAAAGGCAGAGTCCATGTCATATACGTCCCCTGTGTTCACAGCACCTATTGTGCTTAGCAAGTAGTATGTGTGTTCAGTAAACAACTGCTGAATGAAAAGGAACTGAATGAGGAAGAATGTTTGGCTGCCTCTAATGAAACAGCAGTTTTTTAAGATATGCTACTTCAACCAAAAATACTATGTGGAAATTTGAGAGTTCCTCTAAGTGGTTTGTGAACCTCTGGTTTTCTGAAAGTTCATCCGGAGACCTGGAAGGAAGTTGAGAAAGGAAAGAACCTGAAGAAAAATCTAGGTAGTACTGAAAACAAGGTGTGCAGACTTGAATGTCTAGTTGAAACTAATTTCTGCATAGAGAAGAGAAGGGAAGTGAAATAGAGAGTAGTTAAAAGGGTTCTTAAGTTGGAGGGCTTGGGTTCAAATTCTACCTCCACTCCTTATTAGACAAACATTAGTTTCTAAATAATGATATCTACAACATAAGATTATTAGAAAGACTAAATGAAAATAATGAAATGTAAAGTGCATAGCATAGAGCCTGGTACATAACTTAGAACTTGGAAATAACTTAGAAGTGGGCCAGGTAAGAATCAAATTTGGCCACAGGTGGTTGGGCAAAAGATGATTCTTATATGCCCACTCTCCTCTCCATTCCCCAACACTTGCTCACTCCTTCATTGTAAAAGTGGGGCATTTGACTTCATTCATCTGCCAGTTTCTTTACTATGTAATGTATTACTTAATATGGAAGGGAATGATTAGGGGGAATGTGGGGCAGGTAAGACTCTAAGAAATAATGAACACAAACAACAGAGAGAGGTAAACGACTGCATTTAGAACGTTAAAGCTATTTCTGGGCAATGGGGCACAAGATTTGTAAGCTATCGAGATAATCTTGAGATTTCAATCAGTATCAGAAACTTGGGTTGGGTAAAAGAGAGGAAGTTTCCCTGGAGCAGACAATCAACGTGGGCAAGTTACATTTGTACAGGTATCTTCAGAATAGACAGATCACTCTAAGTATTTTCAAAACTCCCCAGTCA